CGGCTGCCCCTCGCCGCCAGCCCCGACCCTGCAGCCGAAGCGGGGTGGGGGAAAGGGAGGGCGACTGCTGGCAAATGCAATGCAGGATGCTGAAGAAACCAATAACGCTGAGCTCAGCGTCTGCACGGCTGCCCGAGGAGTCGGATTATTTTTAGATAAGATGGAACAGGGACAGGCCGTGCCGGGCTGCAGCCCGCCCAGCATGAGGGTGTTTCTGGCACGGGAAGGGGAAGGGCAGGCAGGGGGTTGTAGCAGAGGCTTCCCTGGACGTGACAGCTCTCCCACATGGAAAGTACTGCATGGTGGCGGGGGGTTTCTTCCCCTTCCAGGCTGGTTTGGATGCTCCCTTCCCTAAGGCAGAGTTGGCCAGGGGTGCATGGTGTGGATCCATCAACCTGCTCCGCTTAGTGTATCCAATACCAAGCTCTGGTCTCATTTTGGGAGAGCGAGAAGGGTTTGCACCATTCAAGGCCAAAGCCTGCAGTCCTTGCTCCGTCCAGCTTCCCATGGAGGTGGGAGGGCGAGGCAAAGAGAGCCGGCAATGGAAAGGCATGGCAGGGCATCCAGAGAGGGTCATTCTCAGACAGGGGTGGGACTGCCCGGCACATTGGGACCAGAAGCGAAGCGCCAATGTGTCATGCCGTGCAACAGCTGGAGGAGCTGGAGGAAGCGGTGAGGCAGGAATCGGTCCAGGATGCTGGGAGAACTGCCCAAATGGCAGTTCAGATCCCTCCCTGGCCGCGGGCCGGAGCGCCAAGGGTTACGTTTCTGCAGGAAGTGGAGAATTGCCACATATCCTGCAGGACCCGGCCGGGACAGGGCGCGTTTTTGCACCCGTGCGCGTGCACTCCCACACGCACGTACCAACACGTGGGTGCTACTGCAAGCCCCCCTCCACACGAGTGAACCCAAATGAGCTGTATGAAGGGAATGTGGGGGTTATAGCGGGGGGGGGGGGATTATGTCCTTGTTCCCCTTGGATGGACCTTGGCTTTTATTGGCGCTGCTCTTGCAAGGAGCCAGGGACTGGCACCAGGGTCAGTGCGGGGCACATGTGATGTGGACAAGCGAAGGGGAAGCAGGGAGAGGCCTCCCGAGGCACCGTGCAAATCTGGGGCTCAGAGCCTCGAGGAAATGATTTCTGCATCCCAGAACGGTGCTCAGAGCATGCAAATTGCTGGTGGTGAGCGGGGCAGCCCTGGGCTGGCAGCGGGAGCAGCCAGATGGAGGCGGCTGGGCACCGCAGCAGGAAACCCCGGGCGAGATCAGCCCGTGGGGTGCCCCACATCACCTCTCCAGTGCAAATGTGCCCGGACTGTGTCTGCCACAGTGCTGCCCAG